CACACACACACACACACACACACACACACACACACACACACACAGAAGGGAAAGAGAAACAGGCAGCAGTAATCACTTTTGCACACGTGAGCTTGTTAAGCAACATTTGAAATGACAGTATTCCCATATGTGGGTGAAGGTTAATGTGTTGTGAATTTGACCTATTTCAGAGGAGCCACTCTGTTGATGAGATCACCCCGAGAAATCTAACCACAGGACTGCAGTACTAATGCTGCTGTCATTCTACATCCATATGCCTCCATATGCTTATTATATTTTGTTCCATTTATTGGAAAGTTTATATAAGAGCATGCAGGCCTCTCGCATGGCAGGATGAGTTGGATATCAATCAATGGTCACTCATGCACATCTTTCCTGTCTGTTGCATTGATCTGTTTATTGCCAGCCTGTCAATTGGACTTCTACAGTACAGCAGACCCATGTGTCCCAGTTAAAAAAGGCAGCTGTAATACACAAGACCTCATTTCACTATCCTCTGTGGACTAATATTTAATTTTGGCCGTTATTCCACGAGGGATTCTTTATTGGCACCGTCTACTCCCTGCTAGATCTGCTCACTTCCAGAGTAATACTTTAGCTTACGGTTTAATCTTTACCTACCCTCCTCTCTGTGTATCCCATTTTTTTGTGTGTATTACAGTGGTTTTAGTTGGACTAGCCAGTAATCTTGTAAAACAGATCAGTGATGTTGCAAATCAGAGTACACAGTTATTACATATATTTAGAGCTGATGTGTATGACGAGGTTGTCCTAAGACGTATTTTGTGTGAATATGAGAATTTAGTATTTTGCAGTAATATGATATTCCATATTTGCACTTTCCTACTTTCTACTGCAACTGCTGCACAACAATTTCCGTTTGTATGAATACAGTTCTATCTTATCTTACCATAACTGATTAGCAGCGGCATGAGGAAAAACATGTCAGAAATCAGAGACAGATCCTCTTAAAATGTGTAAAAGAGTGTAACATGTATGCGGGTACTGCTCACAAGCAAAGTTAATCTATTTAGATATGAAGTTCTCTCATACACGCAAACCACTTATTGTTGGTTGCGTTATTGTTAAAATTAAAACGAACCAATGTACGTATATAAATACATGACACTCTTTTCTTCTTAACATCATAAACACTCATATGGGTTCTGCACTGCAGTAAATGACGTTACTTATTAAAGTCATCATTATACAGCACAACTTACAACCAAATAACCTAACGAGCAACTCCTAGACTTCTGCACAGGCTGCAAAAAAGTCAAATAGGTGGCTTGACAACCAATTCATTTTTTGGAAAATGAGTTCAGATCCCAGGCAGGCCTGTCCATGCAGTAGTTAGGCCTCCCATCGGTTTCATGCTGTCTCTCCTGGTTGTTTCATCCAAATGACCTTTCTGTGGTTTCATTGATGTGAAGACACAGTGGCTCCCTTGTTATAAAAATGTTTCCAGTTACAGTTCTACAGTGGAATAAGGTTAATAATCGAGGGATGCCAACTTCACCGAGCAAATTCATTGCATTTCTCTGGAGCAGCAGGAGGACGAGGGCTGTGTGGTACGGTGGGGTTGGATCAGATGTATTTGCAGACTTAGAATGAAGATTAACATTAAAGCTTCTCATTCTATCTTTCCACGACACGGCGACCTGCTGTATTTTTGCAGGCTTTTCTTTGCTGCTATCCTCAGCACCTTTCCACTCGAAACCACAACAGCTTTTCCCCCCCGACTATGGAGAATAATGTCTTTTAGCATTGCCAGGCTGACACATGGAATGGATAGACTTGCAGGAAAATAACTAAAATACAGCAAAAGGTAAACAGCACCACATTAATGTAAGTGGAAGATCTTTTAGGCCGTCAACATAATTTTGCCTCATATGTTCACAATTGTGTCTACAATTGTGTGGGAGATGTTGTCTTACAAATGATGTGTTAGCACATAACTGCATGCTTATACATGCAGCAGAAAAAGAGCAACATGCGCTCATTGGAGTGTATGTTTTCCTGATTTGGTCATACAACTCATGAGAAAACAATATCTGTGTCTCTGTGGCGTCATAAATCTTTGGCTTTTCTTCACACGTCAAATCAAAACAACGAGCTGAAAACTGCAAAGAGCTCAGGCTGAGCCGTCAACTCTCAGTGGGATCGGCAGCACTAACAACACTTTTACGTGAAAAGGAGTCGTTATGTTGAACATTAATGACAAAAATATAGTTTAATGCTGCTTATTTTTTTCATTTGCAACCGTGATTACATCCTTTCCTAAACCAACATTTAGTTGGATAACCTTACCCAATTATCATCAAAACCCAACATTAATAAAACAGTTGTTTTACTGGCCATTAGGTACGTTTTTCAGTGAATTTAAGAAAATATAGCATACAAATCTTTCTACTTCATCTCTTTCCACGAACCCTCTGTATAAATAAATGACCTTGGCACATCAGCAGCGACCCAGCAAACCCTCTCAGCTGCAGTCGCCACCCACGGTGAAGAAGCAAAGGGCTGGAATGCAGACGCAGCTGACTCTCAGCTGGTGAACCCGTCCAGTAAACAATAACACACTGAGAAACGCAGACAGTAGGTCTACATATAATAATGTGGTGTCCGCAGGATTTCCCTCAGCACTGGGATTTGTTGTCCTTTAATGCAAAGTGTTTCAATCTTCCTAACACAAATTCAATTCAAGATTTATAAAAATTTGGAATTCAGAGCATTAAAATAGTCCCGATCGTCATCACGGAAGCGTATAGCACCCACCCGCCAGGTCCCCCTCAGGTACACACTGTTTGCTCTGTCAGCAGCTTTGCCGTTGTTTACACTGTTCGTGCTGTTAGCATCATTTGCTGCTTACAGCCGGCGCAGCCATCACCATGTTGAGAGCCATGTAGAGTCAACTCTCTCTCTCTCTCTCTCTCTCTCTCTCTTTTTGTTTTTATAACGTCAAACTAAATAAGAAAGCAGGTTGAATTAGCTTTCTCGAGAAAGAAATGTGCAGGTGCAGGACTATGTCCTTGCAAAGTAGCCTCAAGCATGTTAATTCATCTTTTGTTTATAGAATTCTACATAAATAGGCAATTTATCAATATGTTTCATTAATGCCATGAAACAATGTAGTAAAAGCTCTATGAATAGTATTGACAAAACAGTTCCACAAGCAGCAGAGAATACAGTTAAAGTTTGACATGAATGGAGAAGCATGAATTCTAACGTTGTAAAGGCTCTTTGTCTCTCGTCTGTTTCTCTTTCGACAGACAGGCATGCCCACTGTGTTACCATAGTGACGGCAATGGAATTCCACACATTAAGAACAGATTCTCCAAAAATAACGACGGACTGACATTTGACATTTCTCATAAAAAAGTATGCGGCAAAAACTCTGAAGGAAGAATTGGATAACAGCTCTGTGCAATGAGTGTAAATGAAACCCAGTGATGCAGAGACATGTCACTGCCTACACAACGGTCTGCAAATATAAAGTACCTTTCAAACTACATACTCAACAAATCAGTGTGTAGAATGTTTGATCTAAGATAATTATTTTGTCTTTTCCTCCACTAACTACTAGTCTGAGGTGGGTGTAGAAAGTCGACGAAATGACTCTTGGCGCTTCTTTTTTCACCTGCCAGCTCACCACAGCTGTTCTGTTCACGCTATCCACCCCAGAACCCATTCACTCCGCAATACACCCTGACCAACCACTAGGAGTCACTAGCAGGAAGAGCGCTCTATGGACACTGCCGACACAGAAATGAAGAGACCCTGGAGGACCTCTGAGCTGAACCCAGGTTTCTGCAGCAACAATAGCGTTCCTGTGCACCACCTGGCGTCTGATCTCCCCAAACGTCAACTGATCCCAAACGAGCCTGATTGGTTCGGCCAAAGTCATTTCATCAAACTGCTGACACGCCAGGCTTTATCTGTCGCCCGGAACGGACACTTTCAGCATCTACTGTAGCCTTTATTAGAGGCTGTGTATCTCAATTTTAGCAGCATTGAAACAGATCTTAGAACAGAGAAGGGTTATAAGAAATATGTTACATACAACAGGAGAGGGAAGAGTAGAGACATGTAGTAAGAAAGATAGCACATGAGGAAAGGAAAGACTGATATCTATATTTAAACTGCTATCAGTGCCCATAGGCGAAATACAGAGCTGAATATGACCTTGATGAACTCCTATGAGGATGTCTGTGTGTTTGTGGGTGTGAGAGAGAGAGAGAGAGAGAGAGTGGGTGGTGGTATCATCCTTCATGGATGTGCTCTCACTCGTTGCCCCACTCCCCACTCATTGCTCTCTTGTGTGCACTCAGCTCTCGATTGTTTCAGTCAGTGCAGAATACAGTTCTACCTCCAGTATAATCTGCACGAAGATAAAATCATAGTCTGCATGTTCAAATGTGATATGTCTCATGTTTCGAACCCGTGCTTTACCAGCAAGACATCACAGTTCATCACCTGACCACGTGTGAGAAATAAACAACTCACAAAACATTCGGCGTCGGCACCATTAACACATCTCAAATGCGAGCTGACATTGCACAAGCAAGCAAGAAATGAAAACGCAGCACAGTATACAACGTCGCTATTGTCAGCCTCATGCCTGGCAATGTGATTGTGGGATAAAATTACGTATGTAGATTCCACGACACTTCATCAAGTCTCCCAACCAGGCAGCTACTGTTCCAGTGAGAAAGCGGACCACCCTGGTTCTCACTGCAGTGGCGCTGCAATGGCCTGCATAGTTGACATGTATTGACCACTGCAGCTTCACCGGCTACACTCAAAATAAATACAGAGTGCATTCCTTTCTCAGTGCCTCTGTTGTTCACCGAACGGAACAATTTAAACTACAAGAGCTCCGTATATTGAGTCATTTTAACAGTTAAAGGGGACGGTTGGTTTCTGGGGATGATTCCATTTTAATAT